GAGTAGTACGGAGTAGTGCGTGGAGCCGGAACCGTAACCAATCCCCATATCACGTTTGTTATTTCAATATTATATTCCTTAATAAAGTAAACCAGTGAATTAGTGGTTCGTTTTCACCTTGCCCATTCCCTCAACGCGAACGGTCGGAACGGCATTTCGTGTCTCGCTACACTCGCGGCCAGATAATACCTAGTCGGACTCGCCCGACAGATTATACGCGCGAACATTTTGGTCCTTCGAGCCGGATTGCTCGCCAAGGAAGGGTGAAAGGTGCTAAAAGTCAGATTCTCCGAACTAGTACTGGTGAAAGGGGAAGTTAGTGCGGAGCAACAGTACCCGCAAACGCCTGGGAAATACAAGGGGTATTTCTCCCGAGGCAGAGTGAGTGGTCGTGATTTTATACGTCGGTTACAACCATCGAGAGCAAATCTGGGATTCGGTGGCGAAGAGAACGCCATTTTCCGGTTTCTCCGTCTCGCCACGTGGCACGCAACGATTTCGCCTAGCTGCGCAGCGTGAGCGTGCCGCACGCGGCCTTATCGACGAGACCTCTACTACGCCCGTTAGTACAAGGAGGTGCCGTTGGAGTCGCACCCTTCGAACGTCGAGGGCCTCGTCTTTTGCTGAGTCAGTACGGCTAACCTAAAACGCGACTTAAGGTTAGTACGATGGACAGGTTACTTGCCAGGCAGACAACTGAGGGCCAGCTGATTCTCAACTTCATGGTCAACACCGACAAGGCGCCTGCCAACAGTCAATCAGTCGCGGCACTGAAAGCCCGACTGGCGCTACTGGAGTCGTATTGGGCCAAGGTGTTGAATCGGCACTGCGAGATGGACCCCACTGAGGAACAACGAGCTACTGAACCGTATTGGACCAAAGACCAATTCAGTCTGTACGAGCAAAATTACATACAGCACGTGGTCACCTTGAAGGAGAGGATAGCGCTTCTCGAGCCAGAAGCCCCTCAGATTGCCCAATCTCCTGGGGCACCTACACGAGTCATGCACGACGCCTCAGCGCCACTCCGCAAGTTACCACTGCCCACCTTCAACGGAGATGTCTTGCAATGGGCCGCATTTAAAGAGCGTTTCAGCTCTCTGGTCGGCAACGTGGCCTCCTATTCGAAGGTCACTAAGTTACAGTATCTCCAATCTTGCCTTGAAGGACCGGCCGCGAAGCGAGTGAACAATATGGAGATAACGGGCGCTAACTACGACGTTGCATGGGCCAAGCTTGTCAAACGGTATGACAACGAAAGAATCACGCTCTCCGCTCACCTGTCAAAGATGCTTAAACTACCAACCACACCTCAAAGGACTGCTGCAGGAATCAGTGGACTATTAGACGAGGTCGACGAGGCTTTGGCAGCCCTCAAGCATCTAGGCAGACCTGTCGATCAATGGGATGACTGGCTGATCGAAATAATCACTGCCAGATTGGACAGCTCAATCATAGAAGACTGGGAGAAGTCTCAGGAGGGCAACGACATACTGCCTACCTATGGTGAACTGGTAGACTTCTTAGAAACTCGGATTCGATCCCTGGAATCGGCGCATCGGAAAGGGCCCGAACCGAGTTCCAGTTCCACAGTGAAGCCCACGCCAAGCAAAAAACAGGCTCCTAAGGAAAGGAAATCGGTGAACTCTTATCACAGCTCATCGACCGAGGCATCCGCGAATCCTCGCTCGAAAAGGGGATGCAGTATATGCAAGGGCGAGCACTTCATCGGCTACTGCCCCAATTTTGTCAAACTGGAACCCGAAAGGAGGAGAGAGCTCGTCTCCTCCACTGGTTTGTGCTTCAATTGCTTGTCTGGGAAGCACATAGTCGCTAAATGCACCTCGAAGGGTCGGTGCTCTACACGGGATTGCGAAGCCAAACATCATTCGCTGTTGCGGACAAACCGGTCGCTACAAATAGGGATGAAGAAACTGTGAATTCATCGACAGACTCTCCGTCAACGGTATCACACACAACCCAAGTGAGTGGTACTAAGCGCACGCACGCCCCACCGAAAGTAAGAGGGATCACCCTGTTACCGACTGCTTGGATCATCCTGGAATCAAAGCCCGACTGGCGCTACTGGAGTCGTATTGGGCCAAGGTGTTGAATCGGCACTGGGAGATGGACCCCACTGATGAACAACGAGCTACTGAACCGTATTGGACCAAAGACCAATTCAGTCTGTACGTGCAAAATTACATACAGCACGTGGTCACCTTGAAGGAGAGGATAGCGCTTCTCGAGCCAGAAGCCCCTCAGATTGCCCAATATCCTGGGGCACCTACACGAGTCATGCACGACGCCTCATCGCCACTCCGCCAGTTACCACTGCCCACCTTCAACGGAGATGTCTTGCAATGGGCCGCATTTAAAGAGCGTTTCAGCTCTCTTGTCGGCAACGTGGCCTCCTATTCGAAGGTCACCAAGTTACAGTATCTCCAATCTTGCCTTAAAGGACCGGCTGCGAAGCGAGTGAACAATATGAAGATAACGGGCGCTAATTACGACGTGGCATGGGCCAAGCTTGTCAAACGGTATGACAACGAAAGAATCACGCTCTCCGCTCACCTGTCGAAGATGCTTAAAGTACCAACCACACCTCAAAGGACTGCTGCATGAATCAGTGGACTATTAGACGAGGTCGACGAGGCTTTGGCAGCCCACAAGCATCTAGGCAGACCTGTCGATCAGTGGGATGACTGGCTGATCGAAATAATCACTGCCAGATTGAACAGCTCAATCATAGAAGACTGGGAGAAGTCTCAGGAGGGCAACGAGACACTGCCTACCTATGGTGAACTGGTAGACTTCTTAGAAACTCGGATTCGATCCCTGGAATCGGCTCATCGGAAAGGGCCCGAACCGAGTTCGAGTTCTACAGTGAAGCCCACGCCAAGCAAAAAACAGGCTCCTAAGGAAAGGAAATCGGTGAACTCTTATCACAGCTCATCGACCGAGGCACCCGCGAATTCTCGCTCGAAAAGGGGATGCAGTATATGCAAGCGCGAGCACTTCATCGGCTACTGCCCCAACTTTGTCAAACTGGAACCCGAAAGGAGGAGAGAGCTCGTCTCCTCCACTGGTTTGTGCTTCAATTGCTTGTCTGGGAAGNATATAAGATTATTTTTTCATACTAATTATTCAACTTTCATTATTGTTATTATATAAAGTACATACAGTTATCTCGTTAAATTCATTGAAATGTTTATGGCTGTTAAAAAAAAATTATATATGCACGTGCAATCGCTGAGCGTGACTCGTTTGCACCCCTTTACGCGAAAACGAAGGAGCTGAGGCGAAAGCGTTTGCTGGTCATCGAAGGATCCACGAGACACGAGCATTTAAAGGGCAGGTTTGCAGTTTGGGTCTTGCCGTTTACCTGATACACGTATACGGAAAAATTACGCGTGTAGTGGTACGCCGTTCAACAGAGTTCAGCTGACGGCCCGTTTTCTCTAGATTTATGTAGCTAATACATACTAATACATAGATGGGCAGCAGACGCTTCGCGCTACGCTAGCCGCTTGCATTGGCGTCGCAAAATTATACAAGGAGACTTAATAAAGACGCGCGTGAATCCCATACACATGACTCAATATTACGACTGATTTATTACGTCCCTATAAAATTGCACTTTATACTGAACACGCAATTTTATGCATATGTTGATGAAAATAAATTTTGTTAACCTTTCCTAAATATACTATTCAGTTATCTAGTTCAAGTTATATATTGAAAGCTCCCCTTATTATGATGATGATCTTCGCCTAGGTTCCTTCTCCCCCCTCCGATGGGGGAGAGCGAAAGTATTATGTAATCCTCTTACCTCTAGGTAGAGTGAGGAAATATACTTCTTAAATTTCTTTCGATTACCTTTCCCTGAGTCTATTTATGAATTCTTGAACACCTCCACTAAACCAGAGATTTACACTGGACTATAACTGATTCCACTTATCTCAATAACTATTCGCATTGAACTTAATTCTTTGTCTCATACGTCTGTCTGTTCTCCCAACTGCACCATCGACCACTATGTACAACTTACCTTCGTAGTGATGGGCACTATCGACTAATTTAAAGTATCGACTACTTAGGGAATAATCGCAACATACTATCGACTCATTAGTCGATAGTTTTTGGCGGATGAAAAATCGCTCTCGCGGTTATAATCATAGCGTTCATATTTAAATAGCATTTTTACTTGACCAAACATGATCTAAAGCATCGATCACGCATTACGCATTTTCGAGTCTAATTTATTGTAGAAATGCATCTTCAAATTTTTATTTCGCGATCCTTGAATAAATATAATCCAAAGCAGCGATCATGCATTACTTTGCTCGGTAAAACTACCGAAGCGAACAACGAAAACATAACATTGACTATATGAACATCTATTGAAATCAATTTCCTCTGTTTCTAATTTATTCATCTCTAATTTATTGTAAATATATTGAATAATTCNTATTAAATATTAAAGAATATATATATTGTATTCGAAATCTCGTGTCAGTCCTTTATATCCACTACCTATTCCCTTAACACAGATAGTTAGGTCAAGGTGTGCTTAAACACTTTAAATGAAGGCAAGAATCCGTAGTCAGGACGTAACAGCATAACATTGTCTATATGAACATCTATTGAAATCAATTTCCTCTGTTTCTAATTTATTCATCTCTAATTTATTGT